AAACGAGACACTGCTATCAACACATGTAGGTCCAAACGGAACAGTGCTATCAATGGATGTAGGTCCAAACGAGACACTGCTATCAACATGTGTAGGTCCAAACGAGACACTGCTATCAACACATGTAGGTCCAAACGAGACACTGCTATCAACACATGTAGGTCCTAACGAGACACTGCCCAAACGCAACCTTGCTATCAATGGATGTATGTCCAAACGAGACACTGCTATCAACACATGTAGGTCCAAACGGGACACTGCTATCAACACATGTAGGTCCAAACGGAACAGTGCTATCAATGGATGTAGGTCCAAACGAGACACTGCTATCAACATGTGTACGTCCAAACGAGACACTGCTATCAACGCGTGTAGGTACAAACAAGACACTGCGATCAATGGATGTAGGTCCAAACGAGACACTGCTATCAACACATGTAAGTCCACACGAGACACTGCTAACAACACATGTAGGTCCAAACGAGACACTGCCCAAACGCAACCTTGCTATCAATGGATGTATGTCCAAACGAGACACTGCTATCAACACGTGTAGGTCCAAACGAGACACTGCTATCAACACATGTAGGTCCAAACGGAACAGTGTTATCAACACATGTAGGTCCAAACGAGACACTGCTATCAACATGTGTAGGTCCAAACGAGACACTGCTATCAACACATGTAGGTCCAAACGAGACAGTGGTATCAGTGGGTGTAGATCCAAACGAAACACTGCTATCAACACGTGTAGGTCCAAACGAGGCACTGCTATCAACGCATGTAGGTACAAACAAGACACTGTTATCAATGGGTGTAGGTCCAAACGAGAAACTGCTATCAACACATGTAGGTCCAAACGCGACACTGCTATCAACGCTGGAAGTGTGGTCAAAACGAGACTCTGCTATCAATAATGGAAGTCGTCTTAAAAGGAGACACTGCTATCAACGATGAATATATGTCAAAACGGAACTTTGCTATCAACATTAGGATTAGTCTGAAGGAGAGACACCTCTATCAACGCTGGCAGTGTGTCAAAACGAGTCACTGCTATCAATAAGGAGAGTCGTGTAAGAAAGAGACACTGCTATCAACGCTGGCAGTGTGTCAAAACGAAACTTTGCTATGAATCTTGGGAGTCGTGTAAAAAGGAAACACTGCTATCAACGCTGGAAGTGTGTCAAAACGAAACACTTCCATCATTAATGGAAGTCGTGTAAAAACGAGACACTGCTATCAACGCTGCAAGTGTGTCAAAACAAAACTGTGCTATCAAAATCAGGATTCGTCGAAAAAGGAGACACTGCTATCAACGCTGGAAATGTGTCAAAACGAAACTGTTCTATCACTGGCGAGAGTCGTGTAAAAACGAGACGCTGCTATCAACGCTGGAAGTGTGTCAAAACGAAACACTGCTATCATTAATGGAAGTCGCGTAAAAACGAGACACTGCTATCAACGCGAGAAGTGTGTCAAAAGGAGTCACTGCTATCAATAGGGAGAATCGTGTAAGAACGAGACACTGCTATCAACGCTGGAAATGTGTCAAAACGAAACTTTGCTGTGAATTTTGGGAGTCGTGTAAAAAGGAAACACTGCTATCAACGCTGGAAGGGTGTCAAAACGAGCCACTGGTATCAACAATGGAAGTCGTCTAAAAAGGAGACACTGCTATCAACGCTGGAAGTGTGTCGAAACTGAACTTTGCTATCAATAGTAGGATTGGTCTAAAGGAGAGACACTGCTATCAACGCTGAAAGTGTGTCAAAACGAGTCACTGCTATCAATAGTGGGAGTCGTGTAAAAACGAGACACTGCTATCAACGCTGACAGTGTGTCAAAACGAAACTTTGCTGTGAATTTTGGGAGTTGTGTAAAAAGGAGACACTGCTATCAACGCTGGAAGTGTGTCAAAACGAGACACTGCTATCAATAATGGAAATCGTGTAAAAAACGAGACACTGCAATCAAAGCTGGAAGTATGTCAAAACAAAACTTTGCTATCAATATTGGGATTCATCAAAAAAGGGGACACTGCTATTAACGCTGGAAGTGTGTCAAAACGAAACTGTTCTATCACTAGTGAGAGTCGTGTAAAAACGAAGCACTGCTATCAACGCTGGAAGTGTGGTCAAAACGAGACACTGCTATCAAGAATGGAAGTCGTGTAAAAACGAGGCACTGCTATCAACGCTGGAAGTGTGTCAAAACGGAACATTGCTTTGACTAATGGTAGTATTGGTAATATTCCTGGGGAAGACCTGTTCGAACAACATGGGCCGCTCCCGCTCGAGGTTCGGCGCGCCGTCCCCGAACCAGAACTCCGTGTAGCACGCCGGCCAGGACCTGCTGTCGAAAGAACTCAAGGGTTTCTGCGTAGGCACCGATAAGGAGTGCGGGCCCACCGCCCTGCACGCGTCTGCTCCCGCTTGCGCTTTCTCCAGCACCACCTGCGCTCGCTCGTCGAACGAACGAGCAGCACTCTGCACATCGAGAACCATGCTGCGCATAGTATGCCTGCCGCCTTCGTCGGCAACAGGCTGAAGAGCACCGCTGCTGTCTGCCACTGTCGGTGTCACCTCGTTCTTTGCGATGCGTGCTGCCTGCTCCTGCAGCGCCACCAGCGTGCCTTGCAGCGCTTGCATCATTCGGACTGGAGCCACGTCATGCACTGGATCCACTGCAACTGTGAACTCTGCCACATTCTCATGCAGGTGGGCCATGTCAGGCTGTTCTGGTGGTTGTCCGTCTTTGTCTGTCTCTTTCTGCTCGTCAGAGTCGTCCTCCTTGTCAGACTCGTCTCCCGCTTCGTCGTCTCTGCCCACCTCCGGCGCTCTGGGCGCTGGCCCCAACAGACGTACCGGAGCTTTGTCGGCACCGCCCACCGGTTGCAGGCAGGCCTGGACGCGGTCTGGCACGCCGTCCTCCGGCAGCCGCGTCGGGGCGACGTCCTCTCGGATGGACACCTCGGAAAAAGTTGCGCACTGCTGCTTGCGCTCCCTCACGATCTGCATGTACTCGCCGCGCTTGACTGTTGCCCAGTGCGCCTTGTTGAGTTTGTGCGCGGCGCCCGAGAAGACGACGTTCAGAGAGTCCACAAGCGCGCCCTGCTCCGGGGGCAGCTCCATGATCGGGATTTGCGCCGTGGGCTGGGCGAAGAGGATGGCGTTGCCCGAGATGCCTTTCTGCTGGACATCCGGAGCGCCCTTGCCGAGGCGGACTTGCTTCCAACAGCATCGGCCAAGGGGCGCCAGCATCTTAGTAGCTTTCGAAGCGTTGCGGACGAGCATGAGCTCCCGGCCGATCCAGTTGTCGTTGACCAGGGCGTTTAACGGCATCTTCGGTTTCTTGGCGCACAGGTCATTGAGGCAATCCCAACAGACCCACACCAACGCGTTGGCATCTCCCACCCCTGCGCACGGAGGCCTCTCGTCCGCAGGCTGAGAAGCTCCGCCGGACCTGTCGGCAGCAGGCTGAGAAGCACCGCAGGTTCCCGCCGTTGCTTCTGGTGGTGCAACCACAGGGACTCGGCGGGAGTGCAGCAGCCACCGCCACTCTGGGTGCTCCGGATGCTGAACGCTGGACGCGTGCAGCTGTTCGCACGGGATCAGTGGCCACCGCTGCCTGTACCTGTCCACGTCCAGGAGCTTCTGCACGAGCTCCGGGGACTGCAAGTAGTACACCCCGCGGTGCTTCACCAGAGTCCGCGCGGGTCGAGCATCTGCCTCGCCCTCGGGCAGGTCATCGTGGTCGCTTGCAGGGTCCGCGCAGTGCTCGGAGACACGCTCCTTCGGCACTGCCCCAAACAGGCTCAGTTTGTGGCGGTGCTCCAGGTAGTCTTTCTGCGCACAGACTACGCAGGCTGCCGCGCATCGGGGCACCGCCTCGCCGCCCGAGAAGCGGTTGCCCTTGCTGCCCGGGTGACAGAACTGCTGGAAGTGAGCAAAATTATGCACCATGATCCTCTTCTCCTGGGCGGTTATCGGCCTGCAGCCGGCCTCTGCCATCAGGAACAGCACCCGTTTGCGGTATTCCGCCTCGCCCGCGTGGCCCTGCTGCTTGTGCCGCGCAAAGTCCTCCTCTGTAAGAAAGTCGCACTCGCAGAGCTGGCACACGAGCGGCCCCGTCATGACGGGGCGGGCGGAGAAGACGCGCAGCTGGCCCCCCTCCACCTCACCGCCGGGAACGTAGCAGGTCTTCCCCGCGGAAGCGGCCGACGCCCTGCGCACCCGCTCCGCGTACCGCTGTACGAATTCTTTGAGCTGCGCGGGCTGAGTAGCACCGCGGCTGGACACCAGCTCCTTGTAGACGGCAAGGCGCCGCAGGATTGCCTTGGTCCGGATGCCACTCTCCAGCATCAGCAGGTCCTGGTCGATCCTGTTCTGCGCCTCCTCAGCGAACCCTTCCATGGGGTTTGGGAGGGCCTCCGCCTCCGCGATGCGAGTCGCTGTTGTGTCATCGGTCTCCGACTGCTGGAGGGCCTGGAGCTCGGCCTCCTGCTCCGGGGAGAACTGCTTGGCCTTCCGTGCTTTCCGGACTTTCTCGGCGAGCTGCCGCTCTGCGAGGCCACGCCCGGCGTACTTCTTCGGGTAGCGGCCGAGGTCTCGCACCTGCTGCATGAGCTCCTCGGTCTTCTGCTGCAGGAGCTCGTTGGTCTTCGTCTCCGCCCCCTCCTGCTCGAGCTCGTCGGTCTTTTGCTGCAGGGCCTGGAGCTCGGCCTCCTGTTCTGGCGAGAACTGCTTGGCATGCCGTGCGGCGCGGATTTTCCGGGCCAGCTGCCGGTCTGCAGGGCTACGCCCGGCAGACTCCTTCGGGAAGCGGCCGAGGTCCCGCACCTGCTGCATGATCTCCTCGCTCTTCTGTCTCCGCTTGAGGTCTGCCTTCTGCTGCGCCTTCTGCTCGGCGAGAGCTCCTGCCCCCGCTGCCAGAGCAGGCTGAGAAGCACCGCTGCCTGCCGCAGCAGTCTGAGAAGCACCGCCGCCTGCATCCTCCCTGACCTCGCTGGCGCTGGCTTGCGCCTGTCTGCTGGGGCCGGCGCAGGCACCAGAGTGTTCGGGGTGGACCCTCGTGGCAGGCTGCAGCCCGCGGAGCTGCGCCTTCTGCTGCCAGCTCAGTGCTACGATGAGGCCCGCGGCAAGCCGCTTCTCCTCCGCGCTCGAGCGGCTGGATTGGGTAGGCAGGTGGCCTAGCTGCAGAATCGCATTGACGAGTTCCTGCGTGGCGGGCTGAGAAGCACCACCATCACCACCGGCTAGTGCGGCTCGCACACGGTCGCCGCCACTGCCACGGCGAGCTCCGCCTGGGGCGGCCACGACTCCGGCCGCGCGCGACCAGACGCCGCCGCGGCACAAGTCGGGGCGAGCAACGGGGGCACTCTCGAGCCAGCGCAGCAGTCGCCATGATGTTAACGAGGCAGATGATGACGATGGCGAGGGTGATGCCTGCTGCGCGCCGGCGTGGTGCTCGTGGGTGGGCAATGAACGTCAATGACCAGCCTTTGAGTCGCGCCTTCCCGAAGCGGGCGCCTGAGGGGCGGAACGGCGGAGCCGCTTACATAACTAAACGCAAGTGTATAAAGCCGTGGGCCCCGATCACATTTACTTCCTCCAACAACCAGCAGATCTCGCCAGACTACCGCCAGGCAAGCAAGGTCGGCCCCCAGGATGTCGATGTATCATATGCACTAACTTAAAGCGGGCGGGATGATGTACACTGACAAAAAGACAACCCCCGAGGAAACCCTGCAGAACCCAACTACGCGCGTGCGCTCCAAGACGCCCGAGTGAAGCCACTGGCTCCCCCTTTAACTACCTCGTCAACCCCATGCGCCTCTTGTCCACCGGCACGGCACGGTGGCGGAGTGGGCCAGAGGCCATTAGGATACTCCCAAGGGCGGTGGGCGGAGACGCCAAAGGCTTCGAAAACCGCGAGGGGGGGGGAGGATAAGGGAGAAGAAAAGGACGGAGAGGGAGGGCTCGGAGGCCCTTGGAGGGGGGGGCGCGCCCATCCGAGGGAACGGCGCACCCCCCCTCCCCGTCATGAAAACGAGGCACCGGCCGTGGCAACGACCCCCCCCCCCATCCCCCCACGCGACCTGAGTGGACCACCCAGGCCAACGGGGGACGTCATAGGGGGCGGGGGTTCTGACTTCGATGAAAGAAGAAGGAGGAAAGCGGGAGGGAAGGATCAGGCAGACGAAAGCCCTTTTAGGCTTTACCCGGCGTGTGGACATGCCCTTTTTGGCTTTTGCGGGGGCTAACCCGCGCGGTCGCCCGCAGGCGACAGGGCGCCCAGGCCCTCTCCGCGCGCGCGCAGGCGCGTGGCAAGCTACATGCGCACGATCGCCCGTGGAATCGAATGGAACCGTCTGCGCTCATCCGGCTCGGAACGGGTCGAAGTGTTTGCTCAAGGGTCGCGCCGCCTGCCAATTTCCAGATGCAGTAGAGACTCCGCGCGTCATTCTCGCAGTTCGTGGTGCATGGTTACCGCGTGTCGAGGCCGACGTCATTCACAGTGCATTGCCTGGCAAGCACTTGTTGAAGTTCTGGGTGGCAGTACGTGCCGAGGAGGAGGTTGTCATTCCTGTTTCTTGCGGCAACGACCGAGCGTCGCCATATCGTCGTCGCCCAGCAGACATTGCGGATTGTCTACCGCCACATCTAGTTCGCGCAATCAAAGTGAACGCCGTGAGAGCCATAGAGTTCGCGGAGGAGGGCCTCACGCAGAAGTTCGCTCACTTTGCCAAGAGGCCGAGGCAGGATGGCTACGGTGAGTTGAACTGCATGAGGAAACTCGTCGCAGAGTTAGGTACGAAAGAGCCTCCCCCTCCCGAGCGGCCCAGCACTTCCTGGAAAGCTTGCGGTGACACGGTTTTCGCGCCCGCAGATATCGTGGCTCGGGGGTGCAGTTGCGCCCGATTGGTGAAGTTCGCCGTGCACATGTCCGTGGACTGTTGTGGCTTGGGGCCCAGCAACGTCGCTCGCAAGGCCAGGTTCAACTTCGAGTCCGAGATCGCGCCGGCCTTGCTGCATGCTGCGAAGGGCAAGTTGCTTTGCGAATTGCGGACGGGGTCTGATCGCAACGAAGATGTGGTGCGTCTGAAGGTTCACGACGACAATCTCGGTAGTGCTACCATCGTGTGCAACATGCACACGTACACTGACAGTGATGCTAGTTGGCGCGTAGATTCCGACGGCGACTTCGCAACTGACAGGCATCGCATGTTGTGGATGATAAGTACGCGCGTATTGTCCCACATGGGTATCCAGGATAATGCGCTTAGCGCAGGCTGTCGAGACATTCGCATTGCTAGCCCGCACGTTAGCCCAGATATTCTGGACACCGCCTATCGGAGCGGAGCGCTTCATGTCGTAACGGCTGCGCCGAAGAAAGATTACGCTACTCGCATCACTCAGCAGCCAGAGGTGGCTGAAGAGGGAGAGTATCTCGGCGTTCTCCTGGAATGGGTTGGCAATCGACTATACCAGCACGATGCTCTTGTCCGCAGCGCTACTGTGGAGCATACTCTGGACCAGCCCTTTGGGCGTGAGTGGTTTAGAGAGCTCTCTCTGTTCTCAACCGCCCTTTGGGCGTGAGGGGGCAGCGCTCATTAAAGCCCCCCTCTTCTTTGATCGATCTCCTCCAAGATGACCCCAAGAAGCGCCCAGGAGGCACCAAGAGGCCCCATGATGGCCCCGAGGGGCCCCCAGGAGGCCCCCAAGGGGCCTCCAAGAGGCCCCCAAGATGCCCCCAAGAGGCCCCCAAGAGGCCCCAGGAGGCTCCCCCGAGGCACCCAAGACGTTCCTGGAAGCCCCTGGGGCCGCCAAGAGGCCCGCCCCCGCCCCCTTCCCTTGACCGCGCTCCGCGGCCGGGCGCAAGCGCGGCCGGTCGGGGCAGCCGGCCGGGGCAGCCGGCCGGGGCAGCCGGCCGCCCTCCCCTCCTGCTCGTCGTCCTCCTCTTCCGCCTGCTCGTCCTCGTGCTCCTCCTGCTCGTCCTCTTTCTCCTGCTCCTCCTCCTCCTCCTCCTCTTTCTCCTGCTCCTCCTCCTCCTCCTCCTCCTCCTCCTCCTCTTCCTCCTGCTCGTCCTCGTTCTCGTCCTCCTCGTCTTGCTCGTCCTCCTCCTCCTGGTGCTCTCTCCTCCTCCTCCTCCTCCTCCTCCTCCTCCTCCTCCTCCTCCTCCTCCTCCTCCTCCTCCGCCTCCGCCTCCGGCTCCTCCTCCTCCTCCTCCTCCTCCTCCTCCTCCTCCTCCCCCTCCTCCCCCTCCTCCTCCTCCTCCTCCTCCTCTCTTCCTCCTCCCCTCCTCCTCCTCCATCCTCCTCCTTCCTCCTCCTCCTCCTGCCTCCTACCTCCTCCTCCTCCTCCTGGAGTCCTCCCCCTCCCCCTCCCCTCCTCCTCCTCCTCCTCCTCCTCCTCCTCTTCCTGGTCGTCCTCGTTCTCGTCCTCCTCGTCTTGTTCGTCCTCCTCCTCCTGGTGTTCTCTCCTCCTCCTCCTCCTCCTCCTCCTCCTCCTCCTCCTCCTCCTCCTCCTCCTCCTCCTCCTCCTCCTCCTCCTCCTCCTCCTCCTCCTCCTCCTCCTCCTCCTCCTCCTCCTCCTGGTGGTCCTCGTTCTCCTCCTCCTGGTGCTCTCCCCCCCCCTCCTCCTCCTCGTCCTCCTCCTCCTCCTCCTCCTCGTCCTCCTCCTCCTCTTCCTCCTCCTGCTCCTCCTCCTCCTCCTCCTCCTCCCCTCCTCCTCCTCCTCTCCTCCTCCTCCTCCTCCCTCTCCTCCTCCTCCTCCTCCTCCGCCTCCTCCTGCCTCCTCCTCCTCCTCCTCCTCCCTCCTCCTCCTCTCCTCCTCCTCCTCCTCCCTCCTCTCCTCCTCATCCTCCTCCTCCTGGTAGTCCTCCCCCTCCGCTCCTCCTCCTCCTCCTCCTCTTCCTGGTCGTCCTCCTCCTCCTGGTCGTCCTCCTCCTCCTGCTCGTCCTCCTCCTCCTCCTGCTCGTCCTTCTTCTCCTGCTCCTCCTGCTCCTCGTCCTGCTCCTGCTCGTCCTCGTCCGCCTGGTCTTGCTCGTCCTCCTCCTCGTCGTGCTCTTGCCCCTGCTGAAAATGTGGCCCAGGAATGGGAGTTCTGGGAAGTCGAAGAGCACGAAGTTGCCTACAGTTGCTACGGGCATTCAAAATGTGGCCCGGGAATGGAGTTCTGGGAACTCGAAGAGCACGAAGTGGCCTACAGTTGGCTCCGGGCATTCAAAATGTGGCCCGGGAATGGAGTTCTGGAACTCGAAGAGCACGAAGTGGCCTACAGTTGGCTCCGGGCATCCAAAATGTGGCCCGGGAATGGAGTTCTGGGAAATCGAAGAGCACGAAGTGGCTTACAGTTGGCTCCGGGCATCCAAAATGTGGCCCGGGAATGGAGTTTTGGGAAATCGAAGAGCACGAAGTGGCCTACAGTTGGCTCCGGGCATCCAAAATGTGGCCCGGGAATGGAGTTCTGGGAAGTCGAAGATCGTTGATTGTATGAAGGGTTTGCCTACAGTTTGGCCTCCTGGCTCCAAAATCTGGCCCGGTAATACAGTTTTGAGAACTCGAAGACCACGAGTGGCCTACAGTTGGCTCCGGCCATTTTCCCAAAATCTTGCCCGGTAATGGAGTTCCTGGGAACTCGAGTCCTGGGAACTCGACGAGCACGAATTGGCCTACGTGGCCTACAGTTGCTCCAGGCATTCAGGCCATTCAAAATCATGCCCAGAATGGAGTTTTTTGGAACTCGAAGACCACGAAGTGGCCTACAGTTGGCTCCGGGCATCCAAAATGTGGCCCGGGAATTGAATTTTGGGGACTCGAAGACCACGAAGTGGCCTACAGTTGGCCCCGGGCATTCAAAATCATGCCCAGGAATGGAGTTCTGCGAACTCGAAGACCACGAAGTGGCCTACAGTTGGCTCTGGGCATTCAGAATGTGGCCCGGGAATGGAGTTTTGGGAGGTCGAAGAGCACGAAGTGTGTGACTGTTGGCTTAAAACGACTTCTGCGGCACCCTGTCCGGCACCCGCCCAGACCCCCCTGTGGAGTCATCTGCTGCTCTCTTTTTACCCTATTATCCCGGCGAAGCAACCTAACAGCGATGTGTAGGAGCATATCTGGAAGCATTCCCCTTAAGATTCAAATGAGAATCCAGTTGTAGAATTGTGCTGTTCTCGCAGTCGTAGTCGCATTCGCGATGACAGTCGCAGTGGCAAC